CTGGAGTGATTTAGCATGGATTTAGTTCATGTCTTGTCTCCCTCCCTTCTTCCCTCCCTCCCTTCCTTCCTTCCTTCATGATAGTGGGGATAAACCCAGGGATGCTCAACTACTGAGCCACATCCCCAGCACTGTGTTTTTCTTTCATTCTTCTCAAGGCCAGGTTGCTTGCTGTTCCCTGCCTGGCCTCACCCTTCAGTGTGCCTTTTCTCCAAAAACTATACAGATTTTAGTCTGTTTACAGGTGGAAGATGGGAGCCAATCACCAATCATATTATATCCAAATGTGTGTCCTCACAAGGAATTTTTACACACTTGAACATGGTACTTAAGTGTGATATGATGTAAGTAAAGGGGTCAGTACATAAAAACTCCTTAAATAATGAAAATTCTCTTCTCCATCCTCTGGTAGAAGAGAGAAGCGGGATTCTGCATATAGGTGTGTGTTTAGAGAGCATTACATCATGGTGGATGGCCCTGTGGTGTACTTTATCAAGCGTGGGCTTCAGTCCCAGATCTGAGTTCCCAGCCTGCCCACCCCGCACTTGGGTGAACCTCGATTTCCTTACTTATGAAACAAAGACATTTAACACTTAAGTGTCCTGTTGTGGGCCGGGGGTATAGCTCGGTAGTAGAATGCTTGCCCAGCAGGTGTGAGGCCCTGGGTTGGATCCTGAATAAACAAACATATTTTTGTGAGGAGAAAAGGAAACCCTAAAAGTTGGGAGTGGTTTTTGGGAGTGATTTCGAAGCATAGCTGGACTTTGTATCCTTGTCCTGCTCCATGATACCAACACCGTGGCATATCATATTTCTGCCGCACACTTTGGTGATCATTTTTTTTAAGGCCACTGGTTTAAATATAAGTAAGTATTTAAATATTTATCCATATTTCTTATTCCTTTCCAAAGTTGAGTCCCAGATAGCCCCACTGAGTCAGGGATAAACGTTTTAGAGTTTTTCCTTCCAAGGAGAGTCAATCACCTTATGCTCTCATCAGTTGTTTAGAAGAATATGCAGTGATGGTAATCCCCAGCACTTAAAGTTGATCTAGTAGGTGAAAAAGCCCGATAGTCCGTGTGTGAGCATGCTGGAGGACTCAGTGCTTTGCATGTTGAATAATTTCTTTGGTGATTTTTGTAGTAGAGGTCATCTTCCCCCTATTAAAACCAAAAAAATGGTTTCCTGCTCAGATTTCTTAGCACTTCCTAGTCCCCATTCCTGGAAGCAGTCGGCTCCTCTCACATTGCATGAGGGGGCTCAGCCCGCTCTGGGAAGTCCAGTGTGAGTTTCTGGTGTCCTCCTGGCTCCCTCTAGTGGTCCCATCCGAAACTGCAGCCCCTCTGCCTCCGCTCTTCAGAACAAGATTCATCTCTGTGGGAAGTCTTGGATTTTAATTGCAATCAACAATGTGTGACCTGTTTTTTCTTCTGGTTGTGAAACTTTCAAACTTTATGATTATGTAGTCTTTTTCTGTCCTTGTCACTTTGCTCTTGGGAATGGATTGAGGGCAGGAGATCAGCTCTTACCCAATTATCTTTTTTTGGGGGGGGGTGGGGGTGGGGGTACTGGATTGAACCTAGGGACGCTTACCCCTGAACCATATCCCTAGCCCTTTTTATTTTTTTATTCAGAGACAGGGTCATGGTCTCTGAGCCCCATCCCACCCCCTATTTCATTCAGTTTTCAGTCTTTTTAAATCATGCAGAAAGCTGAAGATTTCCTTCCAGTTATTGGTCTTCATACCTCCTTTGTGGTTTATCTTTCCCCATTCTTTGCCCGTTTTTCATATAGCGCTATTTATTGAGTTATTTGCATATTAAGGTGAAATCCTTTTCTGTCATGTAGTGTAGATGTTTTCTTTCGTTGGATATCATCTTTGGTTGTAGTGTTTTATCTACAGGGTGTATGTGCGCGCATGCACATGTGCATGTGTGTGTGTTTAGAACTACAGGAAAGTATGGTGGGAAATAACCCTTATTTACCTATCACCCAGATCGCACAGACACTTACACATTGTCATTTTGGTTCTGTATATTTTTATAAGGGATGTAAAATATTATAGATGATGAAAATCCTCTTGGTAGCCCTTCCCATCCCATCCCTTGCTTCCCCCGGGGCCAGCTGCTGTAATGGATTGAGTGTGGCTCCTTCCAGTCCCAGTGTCCCTACTGTTTCACATGCACAACTGCCAGTAAAACACATCTAGTGCTAGTTCACGTGTGTGTGCTTGAACTTACAGATGTACTGTCATATTGATGTATGTTTGGAAAAATTGCCTTATTTGTAATTTTCGTTCAATTAATAATGATGCGTATAGATCTAGCTCCTTCACATTGACTGCTGAGTAGTATCACATCCATTGAATATAATTTCAAATTCTTTCTCAGTTTGTTTATCAATTCTTCTATTTTGGGAAACACGGAAGACACTTCTCGTTTTTCTGTAAGCAACTTTGCATGAACATCTGCACGTACGCCTCCTTTTTCGCATGTGGGGTTCTTCTCAAGGGCAATGGACTATAGGTTATAGGAATTTTTAGCTCTTGACAAATTGTTCTCAGGGTTGTCCCAATAGACCTTTGCACTAGCATCACCATGACGTGTTGTCGGATTTAGTCATTTTTGTGAATCTGTGGGAGTGAGGTAGAATCTGTGGCCTTAGTTTCATTATCCTGATTGCTGGTCGGATTGAACATCTTTTTATTATATTGTAGATATTAGGTTTTTATTAATAACCTTGCCTATTACCCAAGGTTTAACAGGTTTTCTTTTCTATACTCTTTCTTTTCCTTTTGCTCATTTTTCTCATTTTACTTTTTCTTATTGATTTGTTAGCCTTCTTAGTATGGTATGTATAAAGAATGTTTATCATATGAAGACATAAAGAATCATTCTTTACATGATATATGTGTATGTGTATATATACATACTATATGTAGAAAATAATTATATGTGTGTGTGTGTATATATATATATATATATATATATATATATATATAATTATTTTCCTTCTGGACTGGGGATTCAATTCCAGGACACTTTATCACTGGCTACATCCCTAGTCCTTTTTATTTTTTGAGACAGGGCCTCTCTCCATTGCTGAGGCTGGCCTCAAACTTGCTTATTCTCCTGCCTCAGCTTCCTGAGTCACTGGGATTACAGGTGTGCATCATATAGCGCCTGGCTATGTTTTAGGTATCAATACCATCTTGGATATAGTGTAGTCATCTTCTGATCCGTGTCTGGCCTTTCCAGTGCAATGCTTACTGCACTCTTGAGATCTTTGCCAAACCCTTCTAGTGTGGAGCTGGCTGGAAATCAGTGATACCCTCAAGGAATGCAGCCTCTACTTGAGAGTATTAAAAGTTCTCTGGGAACCAGTAGCAGGGTTGGGAAGCATTGAGGCAACTCTAGATCTGACAACAAATAGCACAGCTCAGAAAATCTGTAGACTGAGGAAGGGCAGGGCCTTCTGGAGAGGAGATGTACAGGGCCAAAATCCATCTGGAGGTGTTTGATTTTGTAGTGAAGGTTATTTCCTCTGTTATGGCTTTTCCTCTGTGTGAATGTTCTCAGGGTCCTTCCTGAGATCCGCCAAGCCTCTGTCTACATCCCTTCTTCATGTGCCCTGTGCGGCTGTGCCTGCTCTGGGCAGCACGAGGCAAGGGCAGTTTGTCCAGGGCTTTTTCTGAGTCTCATTGCTGATAATATTTGGACATTGGAGATTTTGTTTTCATGTTGTAGCTTGATTTTATTCCGTGCTGAGAATTCACTCAGCTTCAGTACTGAAAATGCACCCAGATCTGCCAGCACAGCTGAGGAGCCATCTGGGGTCTCCATAAAGGCCCTATGTGCCTGCACCACCATTGTGTTTTTTGGTACCAGGGATTGAACCCAGGGGTGCTTAACCACTGAGCTACATCCGCAGCCCTTTTTTTTTTTTATGTTTTATTGAGTCTCAGAGTCTCACTGAGTTGCTTAGTGCCTTGCTAAATTGCTGAGGCTGGCTTTGAACTTGGGGTCCTCCTGTTGTGGCCTCCTGAGTTGCTGTGATGACAGGCATGCGCCACTGTGCCCGGCTCCATTGTGTTTTCTTACATACCACTAAAGGGGTAATTAAAGTATGTTGGTCTTGTCAGTTTTTTAGCCTCATGGAAACCGAAGTCACGTCTAAGGAGTCAGGATGCTTTTGAATTTTTCCCACTCCCACCCACCACATTTAGATCAAGAGAAAACAAAAAAAATCCTTCCAACAGTGTATGTTTTCTACAACTCAGAAGAAATAAAGTTAACCAATTTGTAGAATTCCCTGGTAGGTTGTCACAAACATCCCCCGGAGAACATGTCAAAGTGGCTGTCATAAATATTGGCGTGCTGGCTGCCGTGGTGGTGCATAGCTGTAATCCCAGCAGCTCAGGAGGCTGAGGCAGGAGGACCACAAGTTCAAAGCCAGCCTCAGCAACTTAGAGAGGTGCTAAGCAACTCAGTGAGACCCTGTCTGTAAATAAAATATATTTTTAAAGGCTAGGCATGTGGCTCAGTGGTTAAGCACTCCTGGGTTCAGTCCTCGGTACCAAAAAAAAAAAAAAAAAAAGCCAGTGGGAAATGGCAGCTTCGTAAGACACTGTTGCCAGCACCCCGCTCCAGTGTGTGCCTCTGTCCTCCTGTCGCCTGAGGTTTCTGACTTCTTTCTAAGCAGAGAGGAGGTCCAGAAGGTGGGCATAGGATGATTCCCTCAGCTCTCAGGGCTTCATACCAAATGGCAGCTTCCAGGGGACCCTTCCTTTGGTCTCAGCCTGCCCATGGCTGAGAATCATGTCATCTTTTAGTAACTGGAAACTTATTGGCAGTTGGCATTTTCCTTTTTTTTTTTTTTTTTTTTGGTACATGTGTTTATTTCTGTTAAAAAAAAAAATGGATATCGCCTTTCCTTTCACTCTGTTCTCATTGCACATTAGCATTTCTCTTTTTACGCTGTCTTTGTGTTTTTTACCTTAGGCCGGAAGCTGAGAGGAAAAGCCTTTTATTTTGTCAACGGCAAAGTGTTTTGTGAGGAAGACTTCCTGGTGAGTATGTCACCCCGCTTCCCCTCCCTGTGCTGGCCAGAGAGGCACAGGGCCGGGCCAGGAGCCTGGGGGGACCCAGACAGTAGGAGGTGGGTTCTCTGCACTGCTCAGCTCTGTTGGGAGGCCATACTGCTGGACAGAGAGGCCCTGGCTATCTTCTGGAGATGCCAGGGTAGCCCTTATTCCTGGGGTGATGCTCCGAAACTCCTCTTTGAGAACCTCTGCATTTAGGAATTCAAGCTCTTTACGTAAATCCTGGCACACAGTAGGTGCCCAGCACAGCTGCTATTAGGGTGGTGGTATTAGTAATTTTAGTGGCTTTTGTGGCAGAAGATAGCTCCTGACTCAGTGTATGGCTCCGTTGTTCTTGGGTAAAATGACAGATTCCTGCCCAGAGTGACACATCGTTCTCATAAATTGCTTATGATTCTCTGGTCTGGTGGGAAAGTGGCTGATTCATCCACCCAGCCTGGGTTTGACTTCTTTTCCCTTTCTTCTGCAGTACTCTGGCTTCCAGCAGTCTGCTGACAGGTGTTTTCTTTGTGGACATCTGATCATGGACATGGTGAGTCAGATCAGCAGAACAAGATCATAGCATCTTGGGAGGAGGAGGCATTTGCCGGGAAAAAAGAAATTAATAACTGAGCACAGTGCTTATTATCTTGATTGGTGGCCTCGGCTGGTTTTATTAAAAGAAGTCCCGGTGAAGTGCAGCCTGCTTCCCTAATAGAACCCACGTTGTTGGCTTTTGTAATATTTGCAGCTTTAATCATTCAGACTGCACAGTGTTGATTCTGATCTTGTTCTCTCCTTCACTGAACTGTTTGGATCACATTGGCCCTCTGATTTCTCTGTGATCTGGTGGCATTTCAGGTACATGCCAAATGCAGCCTGGTTTTACTGCAGAAATCTCAGCTAACTTGAAGTTGAGTGCAGAAAATCAGTTGAATAGGGTTGTTTTTTTCCCCTGTATTCAGTCCAGCTCAAGCTCCTAAGACAGGTTTGGGGGCCTGTCATTAACTTCCCAGACAGTAGAATTAGGCCCTGGTTGTATGTGTTCTATTTCTTGTTTGGCTGCTGGCTCTCAGAGCTCACCTTCGGGCTCTCTGAGCTTGCCCTTGTCTCTTCAGTAAGGACAGTTTTTCCCTAGGGGGTTGGGTTGTGAAGTTAGTGAATACAGGGATTGAATCGTTCACCACTGGAAACCTGCCTTTAAGAATGTCTTTAATTTACTGATCATAGGAAATGATTGTGTGATATACTTTATTTGGAAAGCATTAAATTCCTCTCTCTCATGATCCATCAACTCCATTCTGGAGAAGAGAATGGCCAATCATTACTCTTTTTTTTTTAACCTTTTTATTGAGAAGTAACTCAGAGTGAAGTGTGCAAATTTTGGGTGTGGCTGATGAATTTTTTACATGTGTACCTGCCCACATAATCACCACCCAGATAAAGATACATGACATTGTTTGAACCCCAGAAAGTCCCTCTTGCCATCTTCCACTTGAGATCCTATTCCCACAGTGGCGACTGCTGTTTGGCTTCCATTGCCACTAATGTTTTGCTGGTTCTGAAACATCATAAAAGAAGCATTGTAGAACATAGATGCTTTCGATGTTGATGTGTTTCATTTTTGTTTTGGGGGGGGGTACTGGGGATTGAACTCAGGGCCACTCTATCACTGAGCCACATCCCCAGCCCTATTTTGTTTATGTAGAGGCAGGGTCTCACTGAGTTGCTTAGTGCCTTGCTGTTGCTGAGGCTGGCTTTGAACTCAAGATCCTCTTGCCTCAGCCTCCTGAGCTGCTGCCATTGCAGGAGTGCTCCACCATGTCTGGCGAGCATAGAAGCTTTTGAATCTGTCTTTTCTCACTTAGGGATGTGTTTTTGGTCCTTCATTTATTTTTGTTGCAAGGTAGAATCCCATTGTATGGAATTGATGGGAATTGGGGTGTTTTCTTTTTCTTTTTTTTTTTTTTTTTCATGCATGATGCTGGTGGGAACTCTCTTGTGCATCTTTGACGGATATAAACACTCATTCTGCTGGTTATATACTAACATTCATAAAACAACAGCGAACAGAGTCCTCACTATTCATGAAGAATGCCTGTGGCCATGAAGTATTGATACATTGCACCAGAGCTTAGCCTGCTTAGCCATGTCCTCACTAGTGGCCAGGGCCTTCCTAGGGAACAGGGCCTTCTACCTATTTCCTCAGGGGGAGGCATGTAGGAGCCATGTACCTTCCCCAGTTGCCTGCCAGACTCTGTAGGGCTCCATTTCTTCTGCAGAATGTGTCTTGTTTTTAGAGTTCTTCTGACAAACCCACTGCATATGAGGTCAACATTGTCCAAATAAATGAGTACTATTATTCCCTGTTCCTACTTATAGGTGTCCTAAGTCTTCTTGGGCCTTAAGTTATATCATTTATCTATTGCTGCATGATAAACTACCCCAAAACTTAGAGGTTTAAAACAACAGTGTTTTATTATTTATCATGATACTGTGGATCAGGAATTAGGTTGGGGTTCAGCAGGGTGATTCTTCTGCTCTCCATGACATTGGATAGAGTCACTTAGCTTTGTTCAGCTGGTGGCACACTTGAACTGGAGCCTCTGAGATGACCTCTCACCCCTAGGCTACTCCCCATGTGGACTCTGATCTTTTTGTAGTTTGGTTCAGGCTCATAAAAGGTAGAGGAAGGGGCTGGGGATGTGGCTCAAGCGGTAGCGCGCTCGCCTGGCATGCGTGCGGCCCGGGTTCGATCCTCAGCATCACATACCAACAAAGATGTTGTGTCCGCCAAGAACTAAAAAATAAATATTAAAAAAAAAAAAAAAAAAGGTAGAGGAAGCAGAAGCTGCCAGTTCTCTTAAGTCCCAGACTCCAAAATCTCAGGACATCACTTCTTCCTTATTCTGTTGATCAAATGAAGTCACAGGCCAGTCCTGATTGGGGAGGGGAGTATTCTCCATTTCTTGATGTAAGGGTCAACATATGCATCTAGGAAGGGGAGCACTTGATTTGGGGAGATGGTTTTCTACTCTAGGGGATCATGGAAGTTGGACCTGCAGTCTCCCAGGTCTTTTTGAAGACTCAAAACCTCTTGGTGAACATCTGTCTGGTAGTAAGACTGGATTTTAAAGACAGAACCCTTGACTGCTGCCAAGAATTTTAATAACACACTGAAAGATTTTTTTCAGATACCACTCTTATTTCTATAGCAGAGCTTCAACGGTCCAACTCTGTATAAATTGTTCATATCCCTCTTTGTTAATAAAGGGGTATATTCTGGAATAGGACATAGTCTTACATACCAGAATTATTACAGCTAGCCAAGATGGAATGAAATAACTTTTTTTTTTTTTTTTTTTGCAGTCTTGCTTTAGGCACATCATGGGTTCAATTAATTTAAGGATCTCTTTCTACCAAGGCAGCATTAGTCTGGAGGAAATGCATTCCAAGGCCCAAATTGCCAAATGGACTTTGGAAGCCCAGCAGTTGTTCTTCCTCTTTGGCAGTTTACTATGGATCCAGAGGGGCCTCTGAGGTAGTGAAACCCAGGAGGGAATGAGGAAGTGTGAAAGCTGAGCTTTCAGAGGTGAGCTAGCAGAGCACAAAGTCCACCTCTTGCCACTCTGGCTAGAGTGTGTGCAGTATAGAATTATCTGCTTCCAGTGCAAGGAGCTGAAACATGATATGTCTTTCCCAGGGTCTCACAATGTCCCTTTTCTTCAGCCTGTGTGAGGTTTCCTTCATGGCTTCCACTGCCAGGGACAGGTGGCCGCCTGTACAGTCTCTGCACATGGGTGTTTGTGAGCTCCCTTACTTGTATAGATTGTTTTTGCTGTTTTGTGGCCCAGGTAATTGCAGAGACAAATCTCTCGAGTCAGTGAAGTTGCTTTCAACTATAAATTACAGGAGAACACAGACTTATTTTAACCAATGATTCCTTACCTTAGCATGCATCAAAGTCATCTTATTAAAATACAGAACTTACCCCACAGTTTCTGATTCAGGAAGTCCAGGATGGAGTCTGAGGATATACATTTTTACTAGGTTCCCAGGTAATGCTGAAGCTGTGGGTTCAGGGACCACACTTTAAGAACCTCTGATTTAGCCGTGAGGTTTGGAGATAAGGGGTCCCAGGGTGAGTTAATTCAGCTCCTTGCTGATCTCCCCAAGGTGTTCTTTCTGTACCCACCCTCCTCCCCTTGTCTGTGTCCTGGTTTCAAGATGGTGTTAGCAGTTCCAGGTGTCATATCCAGAGCAAACGATGCTGAGAAGAAGGAGCTTTGTGGGTATTTGTCTTCATTGTGTTTAAAAACAGCTGCCACCAGGGGACTTTGCTTTTACACTTGGATGTGAGATAACCGGGAGGCTTGAGTTGGGGCTTCTTGATTACCATACTGCGGAGTCACACCACATGTGAGGAGCACCCAAGAAGCTAAAGTTAGAAGGTTTTTCCCCCAAATGGCCGTTTCCGGTAGAATTACCTTTCATTTTCTCATGTAATTGCCGCTTGCCAAATTGGTGAGGAATCCCTCTGTGCCTCAGCTTTGCATCATTTCCTGCTTCTCTGTGGTGGCTTTTGGCCCTGGGATTGGCTCAGCCCTATCTCAGCATACCTCTCTAGGAAAGAGTTTCCTGCTGTGGGTGGGGATTGGAAAAGAGTCCCCTTAATTCCCTCCCTGCACAGCAACCTTGAGAGGTTGCAGGAGAAGGATTCTGATGGATCCACTCCTGTCCATACATATAAACAGACCAGCCCTCCCATCCCTGGGCTCCCTTGACCTCCATCCAGGTGAAACTCTTGGGGGAGCCTGCTCCATGTTGAGTTCCCGCCAGGTGGCTGGGCTGACGAGATGAGCTGGGTTCAAAGTTGCTGGCTGCGGCAATAAACTAAGAAAACAGCGAAGAAACCACACAACACACGGACGTGAGTTTCTAAGATCAAGGGTAGGATGGCTCTTTGACCTTAAGGATCAGCTTCATGCTGGACAGCACTGGAAAGAGAGCATGCACCTGGAATCTCTCTATTTCATAGGAGGGACACATAGAGGAGCTTCGATGGAATGTTCTTCACCAAATAAAGCAGGAGATAGGGTTTCAAAGGTGGAGTCTTGCTTTGTGATGTCTTGTGGTCAGCAGATTGATTGACATCTTGGCAAGTTACACCCATTTCAGGTGCTCTGTGGGATCCCAGGCAGAACAAGAGAAAAGGTGCATTTACATCACACAGCCCAATCAGCATGCAGCGCCAGACCCATCCCCTCATATATCTCCAATGTGCACACACACACAGCCCATGGATGATGGATGGCTTGTGACATGGAGTGACTGAACATGTGACCCCTCCGCCCAGAGCACTTGTCTCTCTCCCACTGTCCCTTCCTTCCCTGGAATTCCACTAAGTCTCTGCCTCTCCTCCTTTGTGCCCCCAGATCCTGCAGGCCCTGGGGAAGTCCTACCACCCTGGCTGTTTCCGATGTGTGATCTGTAACGAGTGTTTGGACGGGGTGCCCTTCACCGTGGACTCGGAGAACAAGATCTACTGTGTCCGAGATTACCACAAGTAAGGAGGGAGGGAGCAGACGGGAGCCATACACGTAGGCCACACTGATCTCAGCAGAGAGTGGAAACGACCATGATTATAGTAGCTTGTACCATTTGTCCAGGGTCAGCAAAGGCTTAATGGCTTTGAGGGTACAGCATGGGCCCTGGGAGGTCAGTAGATGCCAGCAGATAGGAACTGGTTGAAACATCTCTTTAGTGAAAAAGTAGAACAATGTCAACAAACCCTGTAACCAGCTTCCTGGTCTCGGGAGGACTCCACCAAGCTACCAAGTCCTGTGGCTCCAGCTTTATCTAACTTTGCCAGGTACCAAGTCAGGGTTGGTTTCTACCACACTGGGTTTACTGGGCTGTACCAGGCATCGCAAAGGGAGCGAAGAGCCAGGTTAGTCTCTATTCAGATGTCCTTGTTATAGCTGGGAACAATCCCAAAGCAACACTGAAGTGTGTCCCACAGAGCCGTGATCCACATTCTTCCGGTGAGGGCTAGAGGGATGTGCCAGGGAAGCCTGGGCAAAAGGTGGCTCCTCGCAGCCTCCTGGTGCCAGCCTTATTCGGGGCCTCGCCTCCTAGAAACAACACAAGTACATTTTTCTGCTTCTTTGTTTTTTCCCCAGGGTATTGGCCCCCAAGTGTGCAGCTTGTGGGCTTCCCATCCTTCCACCTGAGGTAAGATGCTTTCTCACACATGTTCCTGGGTCTTCTAAGACCTGGGCATCTCCCTTGGGTCAGTCACAAGATTCTGTGTCCTGTCCTTCTACCTTTCAGAATCCCAATTCTGAGACAAAGAGCATTGCTCCCTTTTTCGTGGCCTGGCTTTCCCAGCCCCATGCCCTTCGTGTGCCTGTTCATCCCACCACCAGATCTAACTCCCCTACTTGATGCTTAGATTAGCAGATGAGCAGAAAAGCTTTTCTTTTTTTCATTTAAAAAACAAAATTAAATGTCCCTGTTGGCCTTTTTGTTCTCTGTTGACTCGGGTGCTCCAGAAGGTGATATTGTCCCTCCCACTTCCTACCTCCTCAGCGAATTCTTTCTCCTTCAAGTGTTAGTTTTCACTGCAGCTCTGTGTTACCCCAGGACACTCTCTGCTCCCCACTCCATGGCCCTTGGCATCCACTGGGCCCTTAACTGGCCTTTTCCACATGTCTTGCTTTTCTTTGGGCTCAGGGCTCCGATGAGACCATCCGTGTCGTGTCCATGGACAGAGACTACCACGTGGAGTGTTACCACTGCGAGGTAGGCCCCTCCCTCGTGGCTCCCAAGCCCATCTCAGAAGTCCAAGAGGAAAGCCACTTAGGTTACTGAGGGTCGTGAGGTTATGGGTAAGGTCTGCCCTCTAGAGCTAATGTGGGAGCAGCAGACGGGGAAGATACGGGTTCTTGGGTGTGAAGGTCTTGATCATTTTCTGCACATCCAGAACTGGCAAGTTCTGAAACCTAAGCTGTTTTCCCTGGTGCTGCAGAGCTAGGAGGGTCAGTTGGAGTGTGGGTCTCAGGTTTTGTGTGGGGACCAGATCATCAGACAGGTGTGTGGTTGAGGGAAGAGACTCCCTTTCCCTCCAGCACACAGGCTTTTCCATCTGCCAAAATCTCCTTTCTGAGCTATGCCCTGGAAATCATGAAGAAACCCCTCTTGGAAACAGGCATGTATGGAGGCCAGTGGAGGCTCACCTGCCCCATGTCATGTGCCAGGCTGAATGAGCCACTAGTGTGCCTAATGATTGCCAGGGAAGCCAGAGGTCCCCTCTCACCAGCCCCCATGAAGGCTGACAGTGGGATTCCCACAGGAGATGAGGTTCATTTCGTGATACTGTTGCTGGGGAGGGCAGGGAGCGTAGGTGACACACATCGAAGAACTGAAGGAACAGGTGGGACGCATGGCCAATGATACCCCAGGTCCCTGGAGAAGAGGGTGAAGATGTTTGCTCAGCCATCCTCTCTGCCCATCCCAGACCAGCCTGTCCAGTAGAGATATAAGTGCCACAAGTTCAAGTTGGGTGGATCACTTCCAGTTTCCCAGTAGGCACATTTGAAATGTCTAAACAAGGAAGTGGGATCAATTTTTTTTTGGGGGGGGGCAGTATTGGAGATCAAACCTAGGGCCTATGCTTGCTAGCATTCTTACCACTGAGCTATATCACCACTCCTGGGATCAATAATTTTATTCAGCCTAGTAGATCTAAAAATATTATCATTTCAACGCGTAGTCAGTATAAAAAGTCATCCATGAGGTGATTTTTTCCATCATCCTTTTGTCCTGAGCCTTGGAAATCGATGTGCATTTGCTCTGTCAGCACATGCTCTTTCCAGCCAGCCCCGTTTCAGGTGCTCTGTAGTGACCTGTAGTCAGTGGCATCCAGATTGGACAGGTCTTACTGGGGAAAGCTAGGAAACAGTGCCCCCTGCTGACTGGGGATGGTGGCCTGATGTCAGTCTCGCCGTCTGTATCGTTCTGCTTTCATTGGACATTCTTGCCTTGTCCCCCAGGACTGTGGTCTGGAGCTCAATGATGAAGATGGTCACCGCTGCTATCCCCTGGAGGACCACCTGTTCTGTCACTCATGCCATGTCAAGAGGCTGGAGAAAGGCCCCTCGTCTGCAGCCCTCCACCAGCACCACTTCTAGCCAGAGCCACTCCCGGAACTCCTGGTGGGGGTGAGGGGCCAGGGCTGCACAAGGAGACATCTGTCCTTTACTTCTGGTGGTCCCTGGGGTGGGAGGAGAACGGGTGGGTGAGTTCCTGCACGTGTGGGGTTCCTTTCTTTTAACCAGGGAGGTGGGTGCACTACCTGTCCGCTGTATGTATTTCCTAAGTGCTTTTCTCCTTGTCACGCCCTTGTCAGGTGACTCGGGAAGCCACTCCACTGTGTGAGCCAACAGTTCCCGCTTCAGGAGGAGAGTTTTGTGTTGATCACATTCCCAGGGTGTCCTGAAGTGACAGCTCAGCGGCCAAGACATTCAGCCCTTCCCCTCCGATAGGAAGGTGCCTTCACCCGGTCACCCCTTCATACATATGCACCTCCAAGGCAGGATTGAAGACTGCTTTCCACCCCAGATTCAGTACTGCTGAGAGTGGCTGCAAACTTTAATCGCCTTATGGCAAGAAGGAAGCTCTAATCCGTGCTTTGCGTCCTGAGAAGTATTTGCTTAGTACATCAGAGCCCAGGTTCCAGACACGGGAGCCCAGGCTCCTCCTTGGGCTCTCACGGCATTCTGTGCCCCTGCCAGTCCTCACTCTCTTAAGGCAGCGTGTGATATTTGGGGGCCCCATGGAGGCTTGCCTTGTCCCTGTAAAACATGCTTTGGGAGAAGACCTTGGTGCAGGCACCAGGACTCTTTTGCCCACCTATTTGTGTTTTTTTTTTTTTTCCCAGAGCTCTGGAGAGTCTGTGACTTTGGAGCCATTCCTGCAAGGAAGTCTCTGGATCCCATGTGGGAACATGTCTGGCACCTATTTTAGCTAATTTAACGAAGGCCTTTTTGAAAGTCCTGCCCACGTTGCAGAGAGAGAACTCCTTAGAAGCAGGGAGAGTTTTTGTGTGTGTGAGATCTGTGAGCTGGCATGTCAGGCAGTGCTTCTGGGGTGAGTTAATATATTTACTTCAGGGCTTTCCTTCTGGGCACAGACATTATGTTTGAAGAAACCAACATAAGGTACACTGCTTTGGCCTATTTTTTTTTTCTTTTAATTGTTTCTGTCCACTTTTAGTCTTTCACACACACAAAAATACCTCACAGATAGAGCTTCACCAAATTGCATTTTTACGAGGGATTTGGCCACCACACTGGACTCAGATACCTCCTTGGGTGTGTGAGGAATCGCTGGCTTCACATGTCAGACTCCAGCTGGTCAGGGTAGTGTGATCATAACTAAACAGCAGCTGGGAATAGAGCTGATGGAAATTCGGCACTATGGCCTTATGCATTTCAGCATACTGGCTCCCAGGCGGCCAGAGCTGGAGGAGGACCACACACTGGCAAGATTTCAAGATCACCTGAAAATGCAAAATTTGCCCTCCAAGTCACTCCAAGGCTGCTGAGGCCAGAGGATAATTCGAATGGGAGAAGCTTTTTTTAAAAAAAAGACTGGTTGCCATTTGCCCTCTTCTCCTGTGACGGGATTGCTGGGTGTCTCCCTGCTGCCAGCCAGAGCAGGGCATGGCTCTGGCCTCTGTACTCTGCAGAGTCCTATCCTCACACCCAGAGTGGGCTGTGGAGAGTGGTCAGTGGTATTGCTGGCACAAGTGAATACAGACCTTTCACCGGGCCTGGCTCCACCTGTGGGCCATGTTTGGACTCATTGGCAGCCATTGTGGGTGAGAAGCACAGAATCAGCACCAGGGATTGTCTTTTCCATTTCCTTTGGCCAGATGGCACTCCTCAGTTCCTGGTCCCAGGCTGTGCCTCCTGAAAGCCCATGAATACATGGGCCTGTGGTGTGGACCCTGAGGCTGGGCCCCTCTCTTCTGAACAAGCCATCCAGCTTGGCTTTGGCAGGGCTGGTGGGGGAACAAAGTGAGCCACTAGGTCTTAACCTAGCTCTGTCCCCTAACGTTGGCCTTGCCGGCACACCTTTGCTCCACTTTTGAGTCAAGCAGAGTGAAGAAAATTGTGTTGGAATCACTATCAGAAGTAGCAGGGATTTGTTTGCAAATGGAATAATTAGTTTAAAACCCTTAGATTAATATTTTGAATGACATTTTTAAAGTGGCCTTGATAGAGGTATTTCAGATGTATTTGCAAATTCATTTTATGTTGTGGGAAAAGTACAATGATAATTTCCAGATGTCCTAGAAATCCTAGCAGTGGACTTCTGATTGTCCAGTCTCTGGAAAGGGCACTGGTAGGGATCTTGAATTAGTTTTGTCTGTCTCCATCTCAGGCCCTGGCATGAAAGCCATGAAGAGATGTTGGCCTATCTGTATTTTAAATAAATTATTGGTCCAATAGAACTGTAATGGGGTTGTATTTATGGGCATATAGGAAAAAAACATGATGAATAAATTTGCTTTGAAAGTTAGAAAAAATAACCTTTTTGGTTTCCTGGACAGTTCTTGGACTTTAGATAAAACAAGGAGGATGAAGGCCTGATCCCAGACCCCAAAGTGAGCCTCCATCCTTCTTTCTTGTGTCATTTCGCCTTGAGATGTTTTTGCACTCTATCTTGGTTCTCTCTTTTTCTCCATCTGCTCGCTTGAGTCAAAAGCAACCTGGGTGATCTATAAAAGTCTGATAACCCAGTTTGGTCTGTCATGTAGGGATTCTCTCTCATCCACTGTTTCTCCTCCCGAGATGGAGATCATCTGCTTTGTTTTCTCTTCCTGAAGAAGGGCATTCCTTCCTAGCATGAGGCAGTGGATGGGGACTCCACTTCTCTCCACTTCTCAGTTATTGATATTTGAGTGTGCTGTCCTGCAACTGAGAACCTCTGAGGTTCTGCTTTTGAGTCCTGGGTGGCTGATAGAATAACCAAGGCACTCTGATCACCTTCAAGTGCTGTCCTTGCCTTGTTTCCGGGGGCCTGAGTCACACTTACAAGATGAAAAGCAGGATTGTTAGGACTTAAGAGAATTATTCGGAATTCACAGTCCATTGCGCTCCACTAAAGGCTGCTTTTATGTGCCCTTTCTATGCCCGTGTGAGTGCATGCTGCAAGGTTGATAGTACCTTGCAGAGAAAGGGTGTGGGACTCTACCCCAAATAGTGTTTGCTGAAGGCACTTATTAAAATTCTGTCTGCCAGGAAACCAAATTATTTTTGTACTTTCCTTTGCCAAGAATCAGTCCTAAGCCAGGAGGGGGCAGTGCATACCTGTAATCCCAGTGGCTTGGGAGGCTGAGGCAGGAGGATCATGAATTCAAGGCCAGCCTCAGCAATTTATCAAGGCCCCTAAGCAACTCAATAAGACCCTGTCTCTAAATAAAATACAAAAAAGGGTGGGGATGTGGTTAAGGGCTCCCTGCATTCAATCTTCAGTACACACTCCCCCCAAAAAGAATCAGTCCGAATTTCCTAGTTAGTATTTGAAGTAACTTTACAATAACAAGAACAACAACAAAATGAGTAAAAATGTACTAGTTATCTTTTGTGTTCTGAGCCAAAACTGGACAGATGTGGGAAATCTCCATATAGTTATGAAAGTCTTGCTGTATAGGAAAATTATTTTCCTCTGTGTGTCTTCTTTTACTATAAAATTATTCAAAGTATTGCAACGATACAACTGAATCAATTTGTAGGCTATTAAAGTGTTCTCCAACATAACAGTGTTCACTGGGCCTTTTCTGTGTGTGGAATAATGTGACAGTGTTGACAGTGTTTTTACCCCTGGGTTTTACCCTTTTAGAACTCTGGATTCTTTAAGTAACACACGAGTTTCAAGAGCCTGAGATTTTACCTTCTTAAAGCTAATAAATTAGCATGGCATGGTTTCCTGGATCCTGGCAGAAGTTATGGAACTTGCAGATCAGGACAAAGGACAGTTTATTACTAATAGCAATAGTAGTAGCCTGATTATCAGCATTTGGAATTGTTTACTGAGCCCTGTTTTCTACAGGGCTCCATTAAGAGGATCAGGCAATACCTGTACATGTGGTGGGTTGCATTACAAGGGGCACTGCCGCAGTCCGGCTGCAGCAAAATAGCTGGGGGGTGACGAATAACTTGTGTACGTTGATATAGCAGGAATAGGAGCCCTTTATTGTAGGGCAACATAGCTATTTATACATTTTGCACAGCTTATCTTAATTAGCATAAACTAGATACATCAATCAACCAATAAGGAATCTCCACACTTAATGGCTCACTTTTGTTACTTCTCAAACCACTCCCTCTGACATTTTGCCAGGCACCATCCAGACTTGTTTACGAACTCTAACATTTGTCTGGCAAAATACCAGGTGTTATTTTTGACTTATTTACAGACCTTAACAGGGCACCAGATGCTTAGGAAACCCTGTCTTTTATAATGAGCATTGAGTCTGCCTGATCTTTGCTCTGGAGAGACGCAATCATTCACAACTGTTCACTGTACTAACATCCTTGAAAAGATAGTCTGGATCTAAGGGAGTCAGAGCCTATGCTCACAAGAATAGCGTTAGAATCTGAAAGGCCTTGGAGAATCATATCCCAAGTCCAAATGTGTGTTGATTTCTATGATGCAAATGTTCCTGTCACACCTAATTTCTTTCTACCAATATGGCACCCCAGAATCCACCCCAAAGTTGGGAGAAGATAACTTAGTTATGAGCAAGTATGAGTTAGCCTCATGCATCTGGGGGCTGAAGCAGAGAGGAAATCTGATCTGGTTCTAAATTCCAAGATTGCAACATAATAGCTGACATTAATTGTGGGAACCATGTCCCAAATGTTATTTGAAGGACTCCATATTCTCTATCATCCCTCATTTTATGAACATCTGAGAGACATGGATGGTGAAATAACTCTTCAGTGAGTGCTCAGTAAATAGCAGGACCAGTATGGCATCCCAAGTAGCTTCATGCAGAGTGGCCTATCTTGGCCACTCTGTCTGCTGAGGGGTTAATCACTTGTGCTTCAGTGTATTTATTCAGTAAAGCCACACAGTCCCTAAAATGGCTACGAGGAGCAGCTTATCACTGCTGTTGGACTCTGTTGTTTTCCTGTTGCTACTGTAGAGTCATTCCTCAAACTCGGTGGCTTAAAATAGCACAAGTTTGTTAAAATTCTGAAGAAATGGGTCCTCTGGGTTCACATCAAGGTTGTCGTAGATCTGCATTTGATGCAGAAGCACTGGGGGAAAATGCATCCTTGCCCATTTCCGGCTTCTCAAACTGCCGTGTTTCAGGGCTTGTGGTGGCACCACTCCAGCTCTGTAACTCTGCTTCTGTAGTCAGGCTGCCCATCTCTGATCACACCCCCCCCCTTATCATAATGACCTTTTTATTATATTGGGATTTTCCAAATAATCCCAAATAATCTTACTATCTCATGATCCTTAAGCCGAAATCCCCCCTTGCATTATTGGATAAGATATAGTCGTAGATCTTGAGGATTAGGGCATGGACATCTTGATGGACAGCATTATTCAGACTCCAACAGAATATGTTTTTTTGGCTGGGGATGTGGCTCAAGCGATAGCGCGTGCTCGCCTGGCATGCATGTGGCCTGGGTTCTATCCTCAGCACCACGTACAAACAAAGATGTTGTATCTGCCAAAAAAAAAAAAAAAAAAAAACACTAAAAAATAAATATTAAAAAATTCTCTCTCTCTCACCTCTCTCTTAAAAAAAAAAAAAAGGAATATGTTTTTTTTTAGGATGGAAATGAAAGTTTCCCTAGGATATTAGGTGCCTTTTTTTCAAGCATTGTTAAAAGTGGGGTTTACATTTTTCCTGGATTGAAAACAGAAATGTATCATATATAGTAAACACAATTAGAATCTGGGTGTTAGAAAAGTGAGATGTCGGGCTGGGGATGTGGCTCAAGCGGTAGCGCGCTCGCCTGGCATGCGTGCGGCCCGGGTTCGATCCTCAGCACCACATACCAACAAAGATGT